TTACTACTAGGAGCAAGAACGCTACTAGGGGCTCGTGGCCTTGCTACCAGGAGCTCGTGGCCTTGTTACTACGTAGGAGCAAGCACGCTACTAGGGGCTCCTGGCCTTACTACTAGGAGCAAGAAAGCTACTAGGGGCTCCTGGCCTTACTGCTAGGAGGAAGGACGCCAGTAGGCGCTCCTGGCCTTGCTACTAGTAACAAGGGCATGCTACTAGGAAGTTTAAACAAAAACCACATGAATCATTTTCCACATCTGCGCGCAGGTTGTTGAGAGGTGAAGGGCTGATGGCGAGCCCACGGCGAGCCCAGGCGACGTGGTCGCCTCAAAAAACGAAACGGTGAGCTTTCATGATGGATCAAAGGTGATCAAGTGAGATGCAGTATAAAGTGAGGTGACAGGACTGAAGCACAATGCACTGACGGGTTTAAGCATGTTTCTGCGAGCATTTGGCAGTGTGATGGTGTGCATGAAAACTTTGCTCACGATGGACGCGGGAACAAGAAGTGTTCAGCAGCTTGTCGACATCAAGTTTAATCAGCTTCTGTCATCTCCTGTTCGTGATCCAAGCAATTCCAGCGAGGCTTGATCATGGGAAAGCGTGAGGAGAAGAAGCAATCTGGTGCAAACAAACCATGGACAGTGACAGGGAAGCTTCGTGCAGTGAGGTGCAGCAGTGTGATCTGAGAGTGCTGCAAGTTTCAAAGTCGCAGAATCTCCAGGCCTCAAACTTGGAATCCACAGGAGGAGCACCTCAGGTGCAAGTAAAACACGTGCTCAGCTTGAAGCAAAGAAGCGATTCCATGGGCCAAGGGGCATCCTGCCTGAGAGCAATCTTGACAATCACCTCCACTTGACCCTGAAGACCGGCAGGCTCATTGTTCAATAACACACGTATCTGTGCACAAAACAAACACAAATATATATATATACATATGATATATGTGTATCCCCATATATCTGAGGAAACATATGTGTTATATATGGGGATATACATATATATGCGACACACGCCCCTATTGATTTATTGATCCGCTGCATTCTGAAAGAAATCTGACATATGGTCAGGGGCCGCGCACCCATGGCACAATTCTGCCCATACTCGTTGCACCAAAGCTTCGGCCAAAAGCGGGTAGAGCCTAAGCGAAAACGCCCCGTCTGTGGAGCCGAAGGTGCCGCGGCGAAGGCGAAAACCTTGCGGCTCAGAAGCTCAAACCGCCTGGTGGGATAAAGTATTGATGCCTCAGCTGCCAAACCATCTACACCATTCACCCCATATGGGCACCACATTTGCAACAATGCGGCCACGCGACGTTCCATTTGGTGGTATCCTAAGCGAATTGCTACAAGATATCAAGAAGTTTCGGGAAAGGACGCGAGGAACAAAACAACAAAACAAAGTTTGCAATTTGAACCCTGGAGAAAAAACCAGCGGCCTTCCTCCAAAGGATGTGTCTACGACATCTTGGGAGTGCCCAATGGACCTTTTGGATCCGATTGGACCTTTTGGATCCCTACGCTTCACTTGGTGGCGAATGTGACTGGTTTCGAGCAAACCTGGGGCGATATCCATCGGGCCAAGTCTCTTCACATTGCGCTCTCCGGGGACGTTGCCCGAAGAGGCGATCCACATGTCCAGATTGGGGCAAAGATTCCTCACCTGAAAGCCATGAATTGATGAAAGCGGTAGTTGACCACCTGGAAACACCTCTGAACAAATCGTATCTTCCTCTCAAGTGCTGTCTGCATGCAATCAAGCGAGGAGTATAACCAGGTGGTGGCGGAGATGGAACCTTGTTCAGCGGAACACGGTGTAACAATGTGACATGCCGCCACCATGTCGCTTGCATCAAGTACATTCAAGTACTAAATACTGAATACTATAAGTACAAAAATATCACAAGTTTGGTCGCCTTTTGGAGCCAATAGGTTTTGACATCCTTCGCCATTTCGTCTTGTTTTCCTATTTTTGAAATGGAACGTCCCTCCAACGTCATCCTCGTGCTGAAACCCGAGGATTCCAGGAGACATCCTGAGGCCCCCACGGCTCCAGCAACTGGAGGTGGTGGACATCCCAAGATCGGCTCAGGGGTCACGAGCACGGGTTTGGGTTTCTTTTTCAGGGTCTCATCTAAAGTGGCCGGCGGTGGAAGCGTCGGCATCGGTGGCAGCGGAGCAGGTGGAACAGGTGGAGCGAGCGGTGCTACGGCTGGAGGTAAAGGTTCCGCCTGCAATCGTCGATCTGATGGCCTTACTGACACAGCTTTGGGCTGCACCGAATGACATCAGCTCCCTGCTGAGGGTGCCACAATTCAAACTCGGAGCAGCCCTGCAACCAGAAGGGGCTGCCTGGAACACAGGTGCTTTCGCAAGCTACAGCTACAGTAGCAGCCCACATATGTCAGTTCCAGGAGCCTGTCAAGACTCCAAGAAGTAGAACCTTTGGCAGGAGTAGCATCATCGCAAGCCGCAAGCCGACCTACACACGGCAATCAGTTCCCTAGGAATGGTGCCACTGCTGATTGCTGAAGTGAGGCACCTGGGATGCCCCCTAGCTACGCTCCGGAAGAAGCAGCTGCGAGGACGGCAATCTTCAGGCTTCAGGTGCAAAAGATATTAAAATGGGACCCAAACATGGGGACAGCCATTGGAGATGCAAGGTTTAAGTTGCTATAGGTCAACATGCTTGCCGCAATTATATAACATGCCATGCCATGATTCATGTTTAAACATATGACGCCAACGCCGGGCACGCATGTCATGGATGCCACCAATAATAATAAGTGTTCGCAAGCACTGTGACATGGGCCATCCTCTGCACGCATGACGTCCTGAACAAAAGACCTAGAATCAGAATTAGGGTGATTAGGGCAAACTGTTGTCGAACATCTACGGAGGTACTTTTCAGGAGGTACTTCAATTGGTGGACCCAGGCGTGAGAAGAAAAACAAACTGCTGTCTCGAGCGGCGCGACCGTCTCATCCCTCTGGTCTCGGGAGAAGAAAGCGACGGCTGTCGTCTGTGGCTTGGCAGGTGCAGTCTTTTGCGCAGCGGCAGCAAAAATCTGCGCTCCATGTGCTTTCGACAATGGAGCGCAAGATAGCGGTTGCAAGTTGCGTGTTTCTTCTTTTGTTGTCGATTGTTTTCTCCTTTTCGGGTGAAGCTGCTGGAATGTTGAACGCACAGGGGAAACGGATACAGCAGTGGACAGGAGACACAAAATGAGACACTTGGCAATGTAGGCCATAGGACATATGACAAGCTGGGAAAGCATCAGACAAGACTGTACATGCCAGAGGGTATGTATGATGGAGGAAGGCTGTGCTACAAACATTCGGCCAAGTCTCGCAAATTGTTCACTAGTTGTCACTCAAAAAGTACAGATCTCGCCCAACAAGTCTTTTTGTACCCATGCTTTGTCCTCACTGTCCTTGAAGGCAAACGTTTGGCCAATTGGCCTTGATGCAAATGTCATCTTGTAGGCTCAGACTGAATTGCTTCATGATTTGCTTCAGCGCATCTTGTGGCATCGAAAGAAACCGTCCTCTCCACCCGGGGCACCCCGTAGGTCCTTTCCTCCACCCGTGGGTTCTGCAGTGCGGTGCGATGTGGTTTGAGGATAAAGATCTTTACGTGCTGGCAGGGGAACCCCCTGTGGCTGTGGGCCGTGGTTCGTTGCAACACCTGCACCAATCACTTCGCCCAAAGCAATGAACCCCGCAGGAGTGGCAGCGCCAATCCCCTGGCCATTCCAAGGAGGACGCCACGGATGGAACAAAGCGCCCGTCCAGACCTGTCCAAAAAGAACGGCACGACAAATATCCACAAATGACTCACACTGTACAAAAGGACCCCCACACAAAAAATAACAAAACATGTCGCTCCGAAATCACTTCATCACACACATCTGACCCACCAGTCGCCTGTGTCCAAGCTCCAGCCCTCAGCCAAATACTTCGGTTTCAACACCTCCACGAAGCTCTCACGCCAAAGCCGCAGGAAGCGCCGCAAGCTCTCGGGGCTGCGGGCCGCCGACTCCACCACTCGCTCGCTGGGCAAACGGCCGGCGCCCAACATCTCGGCCAAAGCCAAATGGGTGTCACCCACGGACCCGTCCGTGAGCGGCATGCCTAAGCCTGCAGCCACCGCTTCGTGCAAGGCAGTGAGTTTGGCAGCAGGTATGGCTTGCGCCGCCTTTTGGGCCCGTCGCAGGGTGACGGCTGCTTTCTTGGCCGCGATCTGTGTGGGCGTCAAGGTGTTTTCATTCGCATACAAAGATCCCGCACGAAGGGCTCCGTGAGAGGCCAGAAGCTCCTGTGTCAGTGCGAGCTGTGCTGGCTCTGCTATGGCACGGCATCGTGGACACAGCATCACCACATCGTGGCAGTTATACGACTTGCACTTCTGTGGCAAGTGGCAGAAAAAGACCCTGGGAATGATGTAGTATCGGGCGACGCCATAGGATCCACAGCCAACACATGCATTCCGCTCAGCAGCGTCCAAACCAGCATAAGCGTAGTGATCCGTGGGTGTAAAGTGAAGCCTTATGATGTCCATCTCTCCCTCTCTGCACGTAGATGCCATTCCTCTCCGCAATAATCCTTCCACGGTCCGGTCTTTCATGTGCAACAGTTGTTGGCCATCACTCCCATATACGGGTCGCAATCCAAACTTGTTTACACATGAGTAAGCCTCACAGTCCAAGGTGGCCTTGCTCACACCTTTTAGCTCCGGGTTCATGCAAGGTGCGCAATCGCCATTGCCGCCATTGGTTTTCTTGAGCTTCCCTGTCTTTGCGTCCTTGCCTTTGTCAACTAAGTCCTGACACCAGTCCCACAATTTCATCCCGGGTGGTTTATGCTTTCTGGCCAATGCCAAGCCACAATCGTGGCCCGCCAAAGCATCGCGGGCCGCATACTCCAGCTGTGCGCGCGACAGTGGGCGCTCAGCCCAGTTGGATCGGCGGATGGCCATATCTTTGGACAGTTCGATCCCCAAAAGCAACCGAGTCAAGGCAGCAAGACCCATGGGCTGTGCACCTGGCCTGACCTCCCCTTCTCTCATGGCCAGCCGAGACAGGTCGACGCAACCTTTCATCTCGATCTTGAACTGGTTCTTGAGCAGTTCAGCATCCAACGCCACTGCCACACCCATCTTCAGCAGTTGTGGGTCTCCCAACAGCGCCAAAAAGGAAGGGCAATCATTCAGACACACTTCGGGAAGCAAACATAGCAAGCAGCTGGTCTCGTTGGCCAATTGAACCACAGCAACTTCACCACTTGAACCCCATTCTGTGTCAAAACCGACGTGATGAACAACCTCAGATGAAAAGCCCCGAAGGATGGAACTGATGGCCTCCTCGGCGGCAGATGTAGATGTGATGACCTCTACCCGCCGAGTGGCACTCGCCCAGCACATATCGAAATCCATGGCAAAACCAGCAGGAAGTGAACTAGTCGGTACTACATCAGCTTGGATCATGCCGCAGCATGCCGTATATAGCGATCATATGTGCTCAACTCATCCCAGCTGCTAATAAAGAACGCTTTGGTTCAACTGGGGATGCGAGGGGTTTTCCAACATGGCCTCAAGGACCCAGCTTTTCCCAAACAGCCTAGGTCTTGTGCTGGTCCATCCACACATCGACATGGCCCACATGTGTGCCTTGAACCACAGGAACATGAACACTTCAAACATTGTTGCAAATCACAGCTATCAATTCCCCATCTGACGCATGTCAGCATGTTCCAATCATTTACATTCCTGAACCCACTCTTAAACTTTCAAGCCAGTTTCCAAAAGTGTCCTGGTTCAGAATTATATATATAGCTATTCAGAGTTCAAACCAAACACCGGGGAATACTTGACTTGACAGGACCATACTTTCAGACTTGGCCGTGCAAAAGTGTCTGAATGACGCCCACAATCACTTGCTTGCGAAGGTGATTCTCAGGATTAAAGCATTGCGCTGTGTCCAAAACTAAAGCTGCAATTGAACCCTGCTGAGCCACACACAGGAGGAAACAAACAAAAGTTCAAAAGGCCCTATACAGCAGCATCATGCAGCGTAGCTCCCAATTGACTGCTCCTGACTTTCCACTTAGTTGAGAGAACATGTGGCCGTACAGGGCAGGTGAATTGAACAGCCCGCCTTCGGAATAGTGAAACATGGACAGCATCAATCTAGACCCCTTTTTACAAGGCTGCTTGTTGTGGCTCCACAAATTCGACAACCTCAAGGCCAATAGTTGAATCAAACTTAGCTTCCTGAAGAACCTGTGTCTTGAAATTTGGAAGCAAAATCGCGTCAGTGTGTCTGCATATGCTTCTCAAGTCGCGACTGTGAGAACCCTCTTGCAAAACCCTGATGCGCAAGATCACACCGGCTGGACCAGCTGAGAGTCTTGCCTGACTTGCGTTGGAGGTCGCAAAGCATAAACCTGGCCAAAAGCAAGTGCGTCCACTGACATAAGCCTCGCGGGACTCAGCCCCAACCCCCCGGTAGAGGTACGGCTGTGGCCAGGATGGAAGACGAGACAGTCCAGTCATGAGGTAATACAGAAAGCCATGGGCTTGCTTTAAAAGCTGCTGGTCTTGCTTGAAGAGATGCTCATCCAGGAGGAATCCCAGGGATTGCCGCGGGAAGCCCAGGGGATTGAAAAGCTTCAGACCACTCATGTACAAAACAATTGCGAAGCGCATCTCACCGGACACTTGTTCGGGCAACTCTGACAAATCTAAGGCTTTTGTAGCCTGGCTGGTCTCCAACAGCATCTGCTCCATGCCAAGCTCTTGGAAGACCTCGCAGGCGCGCAAGTAGAAGTCAGGACTTCAGTCTGCCCGGCAGCGGGCAATCCACAAAGCTTTGGAGGGCCCGGTGCTCCAAGCATCGATCTCGGGCGTCCTCCCCGTCGGACCTGGGAGTCGGCTCGCAATGGTCGGACCTGGGAGTCGGCATGTGCTCGTAGTCGTGGTTGCGCCAGGGCTTCAGCTGGGCCGGGCACGGGTGACTCTGTAAGCACCAACAAGAAGTAAAGCCCCTTCCGAAAAACCGGCCTGTCCGAAACTTAAAGGTCCAACAACCTTCGTCACTCCAACAACCTTCGCCCCTGCAGATATAATATTCACACCTTTGGTAGCAGGTGCTGCAGCTGTAGGTGTGTGTAACCAGTTTCAGTTCTGGAATGGAACCAAATTTCCATGCTGGTGTTGCCGGATCTTTCCAACAACCATAAGTTCCCGGCCCTGGTCCTTTTTTTTGTGTTCAGCCAGTCTTTGTACTGGTTGTCCCACATCTGTCTGCCGACAAAACTCCATGCAGGCGCATGGTGGTTGCAGGCCTGCCACCCAAAAGAATTCCTGCCTGTATCGAAGGTCAACCGCTCAAGTTGACGCGTCAACCGGTTTCGGAGCGCATCATTGCAGGTCAACAACTGCTTCTCTATACTTGACTGCATGATCTGTAGCCACTTCACCACAGGAGGCAGCTTTGTCCGCAAAGCACGTGGATATTGGCTGCTCCGGCCTTTGCAACTGATGACCGTGACTCCTCCACCTTTTCGGCCCTTGTCGAAAAGAAGCTTCATGATCTTTAGATATCTTTAGCCAGTTGAACATGGGTGCAAACTTTACCCGTGGCCAAGTACGAGAATCATCTGAATGCCAATGCACAAGGGTCTCCCCCTGCTTTGCCAAATCCTCATGTTGCCTCCGCTTTTCCTCTCGGAAGGCATGCTGACCTCAGTTCATAACAGAGTTCTAGATTCTACATGTTGACGGTGCAAAGTCCAGCACCATCCCAAATGAACGTCTTTTTAGAATCATCGAAAGAAATGACTGTACGAGTAGCCTGGAGTGACTCACAATGTTCTGCCCTAGCTAGGCCGAGCTGATAGGACACGCCCCAACCGATGCAGTGGACGTTTTGTGACGTGTTTGAACCTTGTTATTATGAATCTCAGCAGCACAAAGATGCAATCCCTTGCGGGCACTCCAAGGAACATACGTACATATATCTTCTATCCTGGAATCTGCCCACCGGATTGTGACTAGCAAGACATGATTGCCAGTGATTAGGGGCCTTGCATGTTCAGCACAGGCAGCAGAACCAAACAAAACAAACGCGCGCGATCATGCACCCCTGTCTCACATGTCTGGTCATGCCGCGAACATTTAATTGGAAGAATGCCTCCTTTTCAAGTCTTGGACGAAGCTCGTGCAGGGAAAACCTTAACCTGTGGCTCAATGAAGTGGTACTTGGTACTTCTTCACAGCTGATGACATAACTTGGCTGGAAGTGAAGTGAAGTGGACACTACTGCACCTTTGTGAAGTGACAGGTGGTTGTAGCTTTGGGTCTCATCACGGTGGTACGTACTGGTTAGCGGGTAGCACGTGTTTACCCATGGTGTCTTGGAACGTGGTTACCCGGGTAAAACCAATATTCACCGCTGGCAAAGTGACAGTGGTGCATAGTCACAGCTGAGACCGCGTCTTGTCGTGTGACCAATACATTGCGCTTTTGGACCACTGAGGTCGTGACGTTCCTTCAGAGCTTTGCGTGCCACCTCAGGGGTGTAGTCCTCTGGCACCAGTAGGACATTGTGCCAGGTGTCTGGTAAATTGAGTCTCTTGCGACGTTCTGCAGTCCATTCCCAGTCTCGACCAGGTGGCTGAGCCTCCTGGTCGGCAGCAATCACACCATGGGGCAATTCTTCCCACAGTGGGCCTTCGGAGAGGTTGTCATCATTGCCAGCTTTGTAGGACCAAGCAGGAATGCGTGGAACATTCTCCCAGTTCTGGACCTGGTAGTCACCCCAGCGACCATTGAAATTCCAATAAACACGATGGAACTCATCCTGATCTCTAGCTTTGAAATGAACGAGGCCACCGCCGTGAAATTGGAAGGCAGAAAAAGTTTCGCTCCGGCATGCAGGTTCTCTCAAGCTGTTCACCCAGGCTTCATGCACTTTCACGGTCAGGTCATCAGGAATGGTTTCGATTTTCTCTGCCATGGCCCAACCGACCACAGGTTCGAACACAAGGGGCTCTTCCAAATAGCTGTTTTCCCTCAATGTGCTTGGGTCAAGCTCATGCCATTCCACCGGCTCGTCACTGGTTTTGTCAAAGGTAAAATGCCAAACGAGGAGCGGCATGTCCAAGGTCATCTTCCTGCTCTTGACAATGGCGATCCTTTCGGACTCAATTTCGACTTGATCTTCCCAACTCAAGCCTGAGGCTGGATACGATGCACGCACAAGCTTTCCAGCCACTTCGCCAAAGTTGGGCTGGGCGACACAATAGGAAGTTGAAAGAACGGGTTCATCATTGAAGCAACCTCGAGCTTGGTTTAAGGGTTCCACAACGGAATAGAATGGCAAGTCATTTCCATAGCCAGTCCCATTGAAAGTCCGAAGGAGTTTCTGTGCATAGACCCTCCGCTGCTTCAAAGCAAACCTCCACCTGGCCATGCTTTCCCGTTCCTGTTCAGGCTCGGACTCATCCCTTTTCAGGCTGCAAGTCTTAAGGGTCTGGCATGACCTCAACTCCCTCAGTTTTTTCGGGACGGACCTGAAGCACCTCTCCAACAAAACGGGCGGCCATTTCGGGCAAACCAAACATGATCGCCCGCTCAGAGGGAGATGTGTCATCACATCCGCCTTGCTTGCGTCTCTTGCGCGTCGCTCCCCATGTTCTGGCTGCTGGGAGCTAAACATCAAACTATCAATGTTCCCAATTTGCTGGGCCAAAGTCCAAGGGATTCCAAACACGTCAAGGACAGCTCTTCCATCTGGCTCTGCATCAGGATGCCACCGCTCGCACGGCTGCCATTGAACCACTGCCTTGAAACTGGTCTGCTTCGGCAAGGTCCTGAGATATTGACGGCAAACAGCCGTGTTCACCACCAAGGAATCCAGGTGCGCCTCGCAAACGCTACGCCGATATCTGCTCTCCCGACGCAGTCGATCGACTTCAACCGAGAAAAGCAATAATTCCTTGGATCGGGCAGAGCCCTGCACACGTTCTTTCGAAACCATAAACCTGGGTTTCAGTGGCTGAGTGCAGATTTCCATGTCCTTCTTGATGCTTTGCGACTCTTGCGACGTGTCACCCGCCTGGCAAGGAATTCCCTCAAGGCCCTGTGGGCAACTTCAGACCAAAAAAGAAACGGACTTGAAGGTGGTCCTACTCTTACCACCAGCATGCATATCGATTCTGTTCCGCAGAACGTGGGCACAAGAGAATACCCGTTCCGAACATCAAGGCAACTACAAAACACTCTTAGCACATTGTAGTCTTGAAACTGCCATGTACCTGACACCTTTAATTAATGTTGGATGCTGATTAGTAAATGGGCCCTCTATAATGCTAAATTTTTCTAAAATTATTCCAGACCCCATGATTGAAAAATGGTTCCTGAATAATGCTAACTTTTTTGGGGGCCCTAAATTTTCAATTTGGAAACCCAATTAATAAGGGTTTGAATTCCTTCTGAGGCCAATGATTATGATTCATTAGCTGATATAGCTTTCTCTAGG